TCCCTTTTTCTTTTCTCCTTCCATGAGAAGAGATGACAGTGTGCACATGATGTGTTGAGAGACTTAACTCTGTATTTTTAACTCCTCTATCTGTATGACTCACTTTCTTCTACTTTAAGTTCCTTTTATATGACAAGTGTCTGCTATCCTGATTTCCAAATTAACTTTTCCTTGGCCTCTACCTGGCTCCCAGTCTCTTCTGCCAAACAAAGCCACTGAAACAGAGCAGTGGAAGGAGCCAAGCGTTTAGCAACAGTTGAGCTTCAGTTTAGTTCTCAGAAGCTGAAGATAGCTAAATGACCTTGGACTAGCTATTAATCCTCTAGGCTTGGTTTCCTCATCTGTAAAACAATTTTGAGATAGATGCCCTTTAAGTCCTCCTGTAGCCCTAATTTCAGAATTCTGAGACTGTTACTCCCAATCCCAATGAAGTCTTTCTACTGTGAAAGCCAGATTGGTAGGTCATTGCGGCATATAACGGACTTTACTTGTACACAGTACTTTTGGACATAGGTGTTCTGTAGTCTTTTCAGATTATAGAATAAGAATTCAATTGGGAGCGCAAATAAATGAATCCATTTCCAATGGCACTATTAGTCACCGAGCCTTGAGAAAAAGATTCAGAGTATCACTTTGATCCACAGATGTGCTTCTTCCTGATACCCTGCTTTGGTTTTATTGGCTGTTTCGTTACAAAACAATAGCCAATCAAATGGATGGGTGGGTATTTTTCTCCTCTATTATTAAAACCAGTGGTTTTGGTATCAGATTAGATTTCAGCAAATGATAAAGCAGAAATTTTATAACCAATTCAAGACGTCCATAAAAAATATTATCAACTTGGATTGTCTTACTGTATGGCTAATACTCCTTCTTAGTAGGTCACTGGGACAGTCATTATGCAATTTTCTATGCAATAGAAAACGACCAATACATTCATTTTTCTGAATACCAATCAATTTTAAGCTTTCATTGTAACCAATATATATTAAGTATCTATTATGGGACATTGTGATAAATAGATCTAGCGAATCTATTATGTGCCAGGTAATCAACAGAATTGTTACTTTTCAGTGGTACTAAATCCGTTGTTATGAACAATATTTACTAAATAGTTATGGGAGGTCCTTGGCCTAGGAAATTAGAGTAAAGAAAAATCTAGAGTAGATGGTGAAAAGGTAGCCAAGGGGGATGAGGGGGAGCAAGGAAGGTGGTCCCAGAGCCCAGCCTCTACCAGCAAGGCAAAGCTAAGTATTGCATTTCCTAGCTCTAACAGATAAGAAATGTTGATCTGATGTATCAGTTTTATAAAACACAGCATTTGCTCCACCTATTCTGATACAATATGGTTTTTATGTATAGCACTGTTAAACAAGGATCAGAATTAGATACACCACAGATCTGACAGAATTTGAAGTTCCTTCTCTCAGTTAAACTAGATAAAACATTTTTTACAACAAAAAGAGTAAAAGAAATGATTTTAAAAGCATACTGCTATTCTAAGCTTTACTAAGAAAATGGTTTCTCTGAGGCATATTGTAGGAAGGGACAGGATGGAAAACAACTGGAGTAGGGGTTGAGGGGTGGTGAGGGATCTATGACTGCCTGCAACCAACTTAGGATTCACGAAATACAGATGCTAGTAGCCTGGTCTTTAGGGGTTTTGTTTGGTTTTTTGTTTGTTTGTTTTTCTAATGAATACTCCAAGAGCACCACACGTTCACAGTTCCTAGTCATCACACATCAATGCCTTCGACTAATACAAAGAGAAAGCAGTGGCTTTGGAAGGTATTTTTGGTATTAATATTGGTGTATTTGGGATTTCTGGAAGCCACACTCTTTATGACAGAGTTTCTACTGTTATAAGGATGAAAGACATTAACTACCAATTAAGAGCTATTTCCCAATTAGAAAGCTACAGATTTTTATCATAACAAAATGTAAAGAAAGCTGGGTAAACTTCCATTCCACAAGAGTTTGAACCTCACACCAGTCACACTATATGTTCAAAGAACAAGAAACAAGTGGTTATATCCAAATATAAACAATGGTCCATTAGAAATAGAATCTGTTTAAAGCACATTACATTGCTCACTAGAGTAAACCTACTGCTGAAGTAACCCAGATACATGTTTTTGAAACAAGTAGATTTTTCAGTGAAGAACAATAGTGTTGACCTCACTATTTGTTGTAAGGAGTACCTAAAATATCATGTCATACAAACCTTGAACCAGAGGAAGAATTTGGACCATGGAACCATATAATACAGGAAGTAAAGAAAGCTACAAGCTTGATTGTTTCAAATTCTCCACAAATTTCTCATGACTTGCATTGTATTTTTGGGCCCAGGAACCTGGGTTTTGCATTTTTCAAAAAATCAGAGAAATGCCACGGCTTTAATGTGAGAGGGTTCACAAGCACATATTCCAATGAGCTTGAGAAACAACCTTTCTCATCACTGATTTTTTTTCCAAAAGTTCTGGCAAAACACAGAATTACTGTGAGGATGACTATCAGACTGTAGCAGGAATCGTTGGGGAATAAAGATAAAGCATGTTTTAGGATAAAACATGTCTTTTGCTTGAGCCAAGCAAAGAAATAACATGAAGGTTATAAAGCCCTGTTAAAAGACAAAAAACATAAACCCAGTCTTGGAGAGTGACTGTTAAGTAGCTTATATTAACCTCCTCATGAGTAAGTTTTGGAGGTAATTAAGAGGGAAAGAAGCAAGAGACATGGATAGACAGAAAGAGAGAGAGAGAGAACACTAACTCCCAGCGGATTCTGGGATGAAGACTGCACATCTACTGTTGTCTTGTTTATGCTATTTGATATAGAAATGACACTGAAGCAGCATGCCATTTTGGGGTGACAAAAACCAGTAAGTAACAAGAGAGATATTCTCCAAATCTAACATATTCTCTTCCTCAAGCTAAGGTTTCCAATTATGTCTCATGAAGCCAGATAAAGCTGAGGTTTGGATGCATGGCGAGACATAAATGGAAGTGCCCAGCTTTGTAATCTCCAAATTAAAAGGACAATTTTCTTTTCCCAATCTAGAATTTGATGCCATTACTAATATAGTGCTGTGAGATTTGTTCATTTATACATGATGCATTCACACAAGTCATAGTGGAAAAAAAATTTATTCAAGCTTTAGGCCCACTTACAGAGCTAAGTAGTTATAGGAACACTGGAGAACTCAGTCTGATATTGAATCTGAGTCCAAGATTCTCCCTGTCTTTTGCCTCCCCAAAACTCACACAGAGGACATAGGCTGACCAGGTTTCTAGAAGACACCATTTAACATAAGGAAATGCAACCAAGGAATAGGTTTGAGGGAGAGGGTCTTACCTTTGGGGAATCAGCTTCTAGAGTGATTAGGAAGGGGAGCTTATGACAAAAATGTAATATAAAAATTAAGTAGAAAAAGTTAATTTAAGGTTATGAAAAGTAAAGGAACTTAATAATTATAGTAACCACTGTCCCATATCCCTCAATCACTCTCTATCAAGAAGAGATATTAGCATACCATAGGAATTTCTTTTCCTTCAGATCAGCAACTAAGAAGACTGGGTGGTTTGAATTCTCACTTGTAAATTATAGACTGTTCAGCTGGAAGTCCCCTAATGATTCTTGATATTTAACAACACACTTTTTCCCCAGCATGCACTTAAAACTACCATCCACAACTGTAAGTTCACATATAGTTGTTTATATGTACACATACAGAAAAGGCAGAATGGACAGCACTTGCAGGAGCTGAAAGTTTTATGGTAAGTAGGTTAGGGAAGATTTTTTAGAGGGTTGAAATAGGGGACTAAAAATATAATAAATAGAAAACCACCATTGCATGTGCCATATCAGTTTAAAAAAGGGAAATGGGGGAGTGTGAAATACAGTCAGACATCTAAGTGGGTTCTGGGAAGTGGGTGATGAGGGAATGCAAGAAAATGGTACTGCAAAAGAGTAGGCCAAAATTAATGTCTAAAAATGTCATGCATTGCGACTCATTTCTAGCACCAATACCCTTCATTGTAATAGTTTTACAGAGAGCTTTTAATTTGGAAGGGAGGTATTGAAAAAAATACCAAAATTTGTATAATTTGTAAAATCATAATTTCTACTCACTTTCAATGTTTTTTTCTAAAATATTTTAGATCTAAATTTGATATAAGCCAGTATTACTCTTTGGCTAGTGTATTTATATCATTAAATGATTATACAGTATAAATGCTCATTATTTTAAAATTCAAACCTTTTAGAAGGAAAGCTTGACTCCTTATCTTTTGAGTTATCAGCAGTTATCAGAAGGTTTCTCCACAAGGCAGTCTTCGACATTTCATCAGAAATGTTGATTACAGATGGATCATCTCTAGATAAGAGTTTACCCAAAATGAAATAGTAAACATTAACTTAGTAATTACTGCTACTAAGTAATAGACAATCATATTCACAAATTTTTCCCCACATTTTTCACTGCGGTAAAATACATGTAACATAAAGTTTATCATCTTAACTACTTTTAAATATAGTTCAGAGGTAATAAATATATTCATAATGTAGGGTGGCCACTATCACTTCCAACTCTAGAATTCTTTTCATCTTGTGAAAATTAAACTCTACACCTGTTAAATAATAACAGTCTATTTTACTCACTCCATGAGCCACTGGCGACTGCCATTCTACTTTCTGTCTCTGACTCTGCCTATGCAAGCGCCTTAGATAAGTGGACTCATACAGTATTTTCCTTTCTGTAGCTGGCTTATTTTACTTCATATAATGTCCTCAAAGTTCATCTATGTTGAAGCTTATGTAATAATTTCCTCCTTTTTAAGGCTGAATAATATTCTACTATTTTTATATATCAGATTTCATTCATTATACAATTTTTGATCATTGAAAATTGAGTATAGAATAACTCTCTCAGTTATTAAAAATATCTATAAAACAGGGCCAGCAGGCAGCATGATGGTTAAGGTGCTGGACCCCCATGTGGCAAACCTCCCTTCAAGTCCCAGACACAGTGGCTTGAAACTCAAGCCAGGAGCACATGTGTGTGTGTGTGTGTGTGTGTGTGTGTGTGTGTGTGTGTGCATGTGCACATGTGCCCAAAATCCCAGGAGGAGAATGGAGAAATGATTACAGCATTGCCATCCCCCCCCGAGAGGTAATTTTTCACTTTCCTCTCTCTGTCCTCTCCACCGACGTATATACCCTACGGCAAAAACAAATAAACAAAAACAACAACAAAATAAAAAACGGAAAAATCAAAATCTAAAGAAAAGATTACAGTCATAAAGATACTGATTTGGACTGAAATTTTCTTAGTTCAATTAAAATTACAGAGATTAAGTTCTGCATGACCTTTTCTCAGGCTCTTGCCCTTAACAGCCTAGCACAGCAGACTAAGTCCCACCTTTGCTCTGACTCTACTCATTCAGAGTAAGTGCCGAGTCCTCACAATGGCCTGTAATGCTCTGTCCTCATCCTCTGACTTCACCTCCTGTCATTGCAGCCCTGCTCACTCCTCTCCAGACACCATGCACTGACCCCCTGACTTTTGGAACACTGCAGGCTCCCCGCTGCTTTGGGGCCTTATTTGCTTGTAATGTTTCTTTACTCAGTGCAGCTATTTACCTTCTTTGTTCCGATGTGACCTT